GAGGGGTGGGGCCGCAGGGCGCTCGCGCCTGCGCGAGGAGGGTGCGGGGGTTGTGGCAGGGATGCTTTATCGCTGCTTGGGGAACAGCGCAGCGCTCAAGTTGGCGGCATTTGCCCTTGTCTTTGCCCTTCTCTTATGAGAGCTTTATAACGTGCTCCCATGGCCGCCACATGGCCGCTGATGCCTGGCTTTTCCTGCAGCCGTAGGCATGCATGCCAACATCGCGTGCATCGACTTGGAGGTGTGGGCTGGGGCGATGGCGTGCCTCGCGAGCTTTGGGCAGCGGGCGCTGCGGCAGGAGGAGGCAAGCCGGCATACGTGCACACGCCTGTGTGTCTAAAGGCAGTCGAAGTTGTGCGAGCAGCACTGTCGTTGTACAACATCGCACTCTTCGCGACAGGGGGGTGGGCCGGGGTATGAGGCTGGGGCGTTACGCTGCACTGCCGCAAATCGTGATGCGCAATGTGGCAGGCGCAAGGGCAGTGCCTCACTCAGATGCAAACGCATGCTGCTACCTCACAAGTGCAGGGCAAGCATTATTGGGGACCTGCGGCTTGTGGGAGTTTGGGTGCTTTGGAAGAACTGTTACCTAACTCGACGGGCTGGCGTGCAGCCCTTCCCCCCACGCCGGCGAGGCCCTCCTGGCACACAGTACTGTATGCGCCCCACCTCTTTGGCTGCCCACGCCCACCCTGCCCCCTCCACAGGCGTCCCATCAGCACCTGACGGCCCAGCAGGCCATGGACGTCATGATGGCGGAGCTGCGAGGCCTGCAGGTCGGCGCCCACTACCAGGCGGAGGACGTGGAGGGGGTCATAGACATGCTGTGGCACGCCGCCACCGCCGAGCTCAGCGACGGGGACGACGACGAGTGAGTCAGAGCACGCCGCCCCACCAGGGAGCGCCCCGCCAGCCGCCGCGGTCCGGAGCGAGCGCTCCGCCAGCCGCGCGCGGTTGCCTGGAGGCGGCGCTGCCAAGTGCTGCCGCCTGGAGCGAGCGTCGCCCGGGGCCACGGCTCTGGCGGGCGTACCGTCGCTGGGCGGCGAGTGGCGCCGCCTGCAGCGGTAGCCATGTCCGCGTTCGTCAAGGCATGGTGCGATGCGCTGCGCATGGCCACAGATGCGTGTGCGCGGGGGACCGCCTGCTGCTGCATCCGAATGCTCCCGCCAACCCGTCCCTCGCCCCCCCTGTTTCAGTGCGTGTTAGCTTCGGTGCCTGCAGCCCGCCCGGCAGCACAAGCTGCCAGGTTTCTGGGCTGTGGGGCCCCCCTACAACCACACGCAAGAGCCCGTTTGATCCCAGACAGGCGACATTTTTGTTGATCACTTCAATGATATTACCTGGCAGTATTTTTTTTCTTCGAAGCTTTGCAGGAGTGGGTGCATCAATTTATTGCCTGAAGCTGAATGCCAGGTGCAAAGCTTCCCGTCTGTTAGGCACAGGCTAGGTTTGGCGCATGGCTTGTCGATTTGACTGGATGGTAACTCATGAGGGGGCTTGCATGATGCCACGAAAATATCGGGGCGGTTTTTCACTCTGCTAGGAGAATAGCAACCCACCACGGCTGCGTAAAAAAACAGCCGTGGTGGGTTGGTGCAATGTTGCTGCTGCTTCATCAGGAAACCACTGTGCCCGCACCGACGTCCCCGCCGCCACCTCCTACTTGCTGCGTTTGTGCTCCGTCCTGCTGCAGTGCGGCCTCCTCTCCGGCTGCGCCCCCTGCCCCAAGCCGGTCCAGCACCGGGTTCCAGTTCGGCGGCATGAGCTGCGGCCAGTCGCCCCGGTACCCCATCTCGCCGTACAGCAGCTTCCTCGCTGGCAGCTGCGGGTCCTCCTTGAGCATCTGCAGCAGACCCCTGGCCAAGGGCCCCACGATCTCCCTGGCCTTGTCCTCAACAGTGCGCCGCTTGGACGAGAAGCCCATGGGCACGGCCACGCGCACGGGCAGCTCGGTGTGGGCGCGCCACAGCTCGCGGGCGGGGCTTGTTGCCTTGGGGGCGCGCTGGTCGGCCTCGTCTGCGCCGAAGGGAGGGTTGATTTGGAGTATCACAGCAGCTTGTCACCAGCTGTGAATGCAGGGCAACCACTGATGGCTGCTTTGACGCAATGCGTCAAGGCGCCAATGACCCACGCGTCCCGCTCCTACATGGCCTGGCAAAAATGAGCCTGCACCCCTGCCTAACTGACGGCAACCGTCCTCGCGAGCAGCACGCAACAAAAACGTATCGCATGTGGGCACGAATGCGTGTGTGCTGCGGGCTCAACGTGCAAGCACGCACACGAACACATGCCGTGTGCATCTGCAGGCACGCGTGCAACAGCTCTGCAACCCACCTATCCAGATGATGAGTGATGCGTCCAGGGTGTCGTAAATCTCCGGCCGCGTGCTGGCGCCATCCCCCAGGGTCGCAACGCAGCAGCGCCGCTGGTCCCGCATGCCCCGCAGCATCTCCCCCTCGTAGGTGGCTGAAGGGGGGTGGTTGGAAAGGCGATAAACATTTCAAAACCATGAGGTGCGCTGTAGCCCACGTCTGAGCATGGTATAGGTGTAACGAGAGTGCAAGGCCGGCACAGGGAGAGGCCTGCACACGGCAGCCGTCGCGGCGCAAGCATGCTCCCCGCCAAGCGCAGCAGCTCCCCAGCCACGCAGCTGCCCCGCGTCTGCAGCTCTGGCGGTGTGTGCATGGGTGCATTCAGCACGCCGGCGGACAGCACAGCACCATCGTCCCTCATTACGTCCGCCTACCGCCCACCGACTGCGTCGTAGCCATCGCGCTCCACCAGCTGATCGATGGACTCCACCTTGTGCATGCCGCACAGCACGCGGCTGGTGGACACGGGGAACCAGCCGATGCGCTTCGACAGAGCCTGGGTGGTGGTGCGGTGAGTAGCATGGCATGCTGGGGTTTGCTTGGCCACCTGCCAGAGGTCAAAGGTGGCCGCTGCAGCTCGCTCCGCCAGCCGCTCTCGCCGTCTGCCCGGCTGCAACAAGCATAGTGCACCTGGCTGTCAGCCGTGCAGGGCGCAAACACGCCCAGGTAGGCCTACATGCCGCACAAGAGGCTTGCTGCAGTGGAGGGCGCACCTGGCAGACAGACCAGTTGAGTGCTGTGTCGTCCCCTATGATCGCTATGCTGACGCTCAGCAGGCCCTCCGACAACAGCATGTTGTTGGACTTCTTCTCGCCGGGCTTGGCGCCTGGCGCGGCAGCCGTGCCAGGCTTGATGGGGCTGTCTGTGCTGCCGTCAGGAGCGGCGTCGCTGTCTGGCCCTGGGGCAGCTGCGCGTGGTATGGTGGAGAGCACGGCCTTCAAACTGACAGTGCGCAGTGTGCAGCCACCAAAGAAGCAGTGCGCCTGGACAGCAGCGCGTCTGTCCAACCGTGGGCGTATCTTTCCAGTGTGCCGCATACAAGGGCCATGCATCCACTTGCGCCTCGCACCTGACGCCTGGATGTCTGCAGCAGTCGCGCGCAGGATAGCTTTGCCGCCTACAGTGCACGCCGGCGCTGCAACCGCGCGCATTGATTTACATGTACCGTGACAAGTACGAATATAGAGCTCAGGCCGCACAATCATCGCTGCTCGTGCTGTATCGACAGGCCGGTGTGTGTGTGCGTGTGCGGCAGGACACAGCAATGAGGTCTCCAATGCTGGTTGTATGCAGAGATATGGTGAAAAATAGGATATGTGCACATGCAATCCGCACGGCGGTAGCAGCACGTAAGCAGAGTGCCGCGGGTGACCCTTGTCGTGCAGTCAGACGCAAGGTTGCGACTTCCGGCATGACGTACGCCTATCAGATATGAGACCATTTTCAAGACTTGCTGTATACGGTATACTGACCCAAAAACGTGATCCAGGTTTCGAAAGCCTTGCAGCTGGTCGCTTTTCGGAGGATGCAGGTCGTCAAAAGTAGCTACGATTTTGTGAACGCTAGCACGTCACGAATCTGAGGTCTGCGCTTCGCCATTCGCAACTAAAAAACCAGCAGCGGCGCGTGCAGCCGGCGCACAATGGCCGCCAGTGCGGCCGCCGCTGGCGTACAAGGCCCGTCACCGTCCCGCAGCCCAATCGGCTGCACCGAGCATGCCATGGATGACGCCCCCTTCCGCGAGTGGTGCGGGGCAAACAAGGTGCTGTGGCCCAAGCTGGCGGTCGGCTCGGCGCCAGGCACGGGGCGCGGCGTGCTGGCGACAGAGGCCATCCACGAGGGCGAGGTGGTCGTGGAGGTGGGCGGCGTCTCGCTGGTTGGTTTCACATGGCATCACACACCACCTGGTGATTGTTTTGGGCTTCTGCACCATGCGCAGGGGCCCTGCTCCCAACGCAGCTGCGTTGGCCTCTTGGTGCAGCATTTCGAGCGGCAGGGGTCTGCAGCCTGTCGAGCCTGGCTCTGCAGCAAAACAGCATGTCTCGTAACCCAAGCTTCATGCGTTCACCGCCAGGTCCCCGATGACGCCGTGCTGATGGCAGAGAATTGCTCCATCGCGGAGCTGCTAGCAGGTGGGCGGCCGCCGCCACGCACCACAGCCGCACAAGCGAGGCCACCCCGGCGCGCTCAACGCTTCGGATTGTTGTCTTCTCTGTTGAGGCGCTTGACGGCAAAGCACGCTGAAGGGACGTGCAAGTTGCGACGTCTGCTTTAGCCCTCACAACACTGCCGCCGCCGCCGCCGCCGCCGTCCCGTACTCGCTCACCGCCCCCAGAGGCCGGCCTGGCCAAGCCCGCGGCGGACGCGCTGCTTGAGGTGCAGGGCCTGGTGGTGGCGGTGATGGCGGAGCGCGCCCTTGGGATCGCGTCGCGGTGGGCCCCTTACCTGGGTTTCCTGCCGGACAGCATGGACCACATGCCCGTCTACTGGCAGGTGGGGGGGCGCTGGTGCTGGGTGGCCTGAGGACTCAGGCGCGGGTCGGCGGGGTTGAGGGGTAGGTTGGGGGCGTCCAGGCGGGTTGGGGGCGCGGCGAGTCCAGGGTCTCTACGATGCGGGCCGGGATGAGGCGAGGGCCACCAGGGAGGCGGAGGCACGGGACCCACAGCCTGCGTGGGGCCGCGGCAGCGGCTGGCGCAGCGCCAGCGCGAGCCGCGCAGCTGCGGCGAGTCGCGCGTCTCGCATCCTGACGCCGCCTGCTACTCAATGCTCCCCATGTCGCCCGTCCGCACCTGCACCTGCAAACGCGTAAACCATGGCTTTGTCCCCCGTAAAAAACGACGCGCACAACTGCAGCCTGATGAGCTGGCGGAGCTGCGGGGCACCGCGGCCCTGGACAAGCTGGAGGGCCGCGTGCAGCACCCGGCCGACGCGCCGACGCGCGTGGAGGAGCTGTTTGGCGCGCTGGTGGTGCCCCTGGTGGAGGGCGACAAGGGCCTGGCCAAAGTGGGTGGGCGCTGAGCCGCATCTGGCATCATAAGGAGGACGCAGCTTGTGTGTTTTGTGGCAGGTGGCAGGGGCAGCAGGGAGGGTATTGGTCATGCAATCGATCGGCTCGGCGTCGTGCCAGCTACAGGCAGTCGGGCTCGGGGATGCAGGGGCGGGGGCCAATCTTCCTGTCTGCGGCTGCCTCTCTCTTTGACATGTTGGATCGCAGGCGCTGCTGGGCCCCAAGGGTCTGCCCTCCAAGGGCAAGGCCGCGGAGGAGGCCAAACAGCGGCTGCTGCAGGTTAGTTGGCGGCCCTGTTGGCTGGTGCGGGCAGCGACCTGCATTGGGGGAACGATTGGGACGAGAAAATTGAGCCCCAGCCGCCGGCGCAGGACAGCGCCCGCAGCGTGACGCGGGCCGCGCCCTTGCAACTCCAGTCTTATGCTTTGATCATGCCGACAGGCAGTCTTGTATAATGCTCGTCGACCGCCCGCCTGCCGCGTGTGCGCGCAGCAGTACAAGTGGGCCACGTCAGCGGTGGCGTCCTACTCGTTCATCCTAGGGGACGAGCAGTTCCAGTCCATGTGCCCAGTGTGGGACGTGAGCGGCAACACCCGCGCGTGGCCGGCTGCGCGACGCGCGCTGAACCTGATATGCATCTGCCCAGCAGCATCGCCTGACGGTCGCCGCTTGTCGTCCCAATGCGCGCCCGGCCAGCCCCTCTGGCAGCCTGCGTTCTTGCGACATTGTCAAGCCTGCGTCTGCTCTCACGCCAACGTTTTGCCCTCAGACAACTCTTTACCACTGCTGCCCGGCCCCTCGCTCCCCCGCAGCTGCTCAACCACGTCACCGGCCGCGCCAACGTGCGGCTGCGCCACGACGCCGCCCGCGGTGCGCTGCAAATGGTCGCCACCCGGCCTATCGCGGCCGGCGAGGAGGTCGTCAACAACTATGGCCGCCTGTCAAACTCGGACCTGCTGCGGGGATACGGCTACGTGGAAGCTGCAAATTCCAACGAGCACGCACAGGTGCCCGCTCAGTTCCTGATTCGGGCCGCCGCGGGCGCCAAGGCGGCCGCGGCCGCCGGGGGCGGCGGGGCGGGCCGCGCCGGCGCGGAGGGCGGCGCGGGCG